TTTGTTCATATAGTGCATGTTTATTTACTTTCTACAGCTATGCAAGTCTATATTAAGACAGCATTAAATATTTACTTTAATCTGTACTTTCAATGTTAAGAATCAAAAGATTTTTAAACATGTAATTTTAAATGTGTTTAACACACTCCAAGAAAGAAAGTAATTTCGTTAACTAAAATTAATTAATGCAGCAATTTATTTAAAATAAATTTTAAAACTAAGAAAAGAAAATAATAAAAGTATCAATAATTTAAAGCACTGTTTTTTAACTTTTAAAATCAATATAATATATATATAAAAATCAGTTGATTTAAATCAATGATTTTTTTAAAAAAATCATTTGATTTAAATCATGATTTAAATCGTGATTTAAATCAAGCTGATTTAAATCAACGAACCCTGCTTTTAATTAATGCATACTTGAGCCAAAAATAGATTAAAGGGCAGGATGTGAATTTAAATGTGTGATAAAGCGTTTCGCTCTGAATAATAAATTAAGAAAAGGATTTACATAAAACTAACATAAAAAGATAAATTGAAGCTCTTAACGCTGCAGTTACATATATACACGTCACAAAATTATCTTTGAAAACTAAACAATTCTGAAAATTCTATCTAGATATTTATTAGAAAACTTCTTTAAATAAAAATCAACACAAATTACTAAAACCATCATACACACAATTTTTATGCTCTGACTGTTTAAGTATAACATAAAAAAAAACAATTATTATTTAGTAGAAAAAATAAATATGCAAAAGATGCTAGAATAAATAATTTTTTAAATATACCACAAAAATTAAAAAGATCTGACATTTTTCCTAAAAAGATTTTTTAATAATGGCAGGTTTATAAGCTTTATTAAATGTTCGCAAGAATTTTTAAAAAACTGCAATATTTCAAAATAAAATCTTGAATTCACAAGGTATTGGAAACTACAATTAATTCAATACTCTTACTAATAAACAGCAGAAAAAAAGTAATCTAAAATTCACACCTTGTCCAAAATATATAAATGTTTATTAAAGAACATAAACTATAAAATAAAATATATAAATTTTATTGAAAATAAAATTTAATGCATGAAGAATATTTTCTCTTGACGTAATTCTGTAATCTAGATATAAGGTACTGCTCATAACTCATTCTACAATTTAAAAAACTAATTTAAATTTCAGAAAATTCAAACTAGACTCCACAGTCATGCTCAAAACTGACAGGAATAGAATTTTAGTAACATAATTATTAAACTTACCAAAAGAATGATACACAAGTTTAAAAAACCTCTATAATTGGTATAGCCACTAGATGAACTCAACAAAGAGTCTCGTTGCTTGTGAATACTGTAAAAGAGATATAAATTTAAATTAAATAAGTTACTATTTCTTTCCAATATATAAATTTAAATTAAATAAGTTACTATTTCTTTCCAATATCAGTATAAAAATCACATTAATGAACAAGGACAGGTAATACAAAAAAATTAAAAATGAAGGATTTGTTAAAAAAAAAAATCTTATTTTGGGAAGATTTCCATACCAGGGTTTGTGGCAGAACTGTCTGCTCGTAACAAACCCGATCAAACAGATACAGGCGTTTTTAAAAAAATTGCATATTCAAATTTCATTTGGCATCCAAGCAATTAAAGTTGACAAGACAGATAATGATACAGAAATTTGTCCCCCACTTTTACCTTTAAAAGAAAAAAAGGAGGGGTCATTAAAAGGTCAAAAATATTTCGATTGTGGGATATGTGATGTTTTAAGTGCGAAAAAAAATCTACTTTTAGAATTAAATCTTTCAAGTTGGTAATGTTCAGTTAAGTTTTTTAGTTCGTCAAAACTTGGAGTTTATTTTGGGTTAGGTATGATTCGGAAAACTTCAATTAAATAATTTTCTTTGTGAATGATTAAGAGAGCGATTTATGTATCTGCACCAGGGCAAAAATGGTCTAAAGCTCTGATGATTAACGCGCATTTTCACATGAAGAAAAAAACATAGCGAAGTTTGAGTGTAAAATTTCGTAGCCGACCCATTACAAAAGAACTTCATGGGCAATTTTACCAGATTAGTACATACTTGAGAAATTTATAATATTACAATATTTGTTTATAAATAAGAGAAACTTCAACAGATACATTTTATTCAAAATTTGTTATTTAATATTAATACTGCAGGGCATTGTTGTAAATCTTATGTTTGCAATGCAAACAAATATATTAATTTATGCAAAATATATTAGGTTCAAGTTATGTAAGTTTTTGAAGTTTATGTAGTGTTATTCCATTAGGCTTTGAAGTATAAAATCCATAGCAATAAAATTTAATTATTTAATTTTAAAACATTTTTATTCATATCTTACGGTTGGTCCGGCAAAGTAGCTCTCAGTCGCCGTTCTTTTAGATTTTCACCTTCAACTTGAGCTAAGCTTATACTTTTCGTACGTCGTAACCTAACAGGCATTTTGAAAGAATATTTTCCCAATTTAAACTACAAGAGAAATAACATAGCACGGGTAATTGTTGGCGCATGCAATTGTACTTCATTCATCTGTCAACATCACCAACAGCAGACGAAAATATTTGATAAAATGAAATTGGGGAGGAAAATTCAAGGTTACAGTTATGTGAAAAATAACTGAGGAAAAGAATGGTTTCCGTGACCGAGAGATATATTTTAACTAACAAAAATAGACAATAGATGACGGAAGTTTACTATAAAACAGACCTGGTTTAATTTATAACAAAAAACTATATTTCTGTAACAAACTAAATAAAAATCTCTAAAATTTTCAACAAAAAAAATTTAAAAAGGCAGGGTCCCGCAAAGACACGGTTCCCAGTGGAACACCGAAGTCAAACATCACTAACTGAGGCCAGTAAGCTGGCGGGTGACCACTTTGATCAGCCTGCGTAGGTATCGAGGATATGCGGCATCGGTCCTGTTCCACCGTAAAGTGCTCGACTTTGCGCACAGATTGTCGGGCCACCGAAACGGGGGAAACATCTCCTCAGTTGAGAATCAAAATTGTTATTGAATGCCTTCGGATCATCCTCGATGATGTTTCCCAGACAGTTACCGATAGCCCATTGTGCAGCTCTAGTGAGATGTAAATAAAATATTTACCTAGAAAGATAGGTTCTTTATTTAGGGCCGTGGTAGCCCAGTAGTTAGAGAATCGGACTCCGATCTGGAGGGGCCGGTGTTCGATCCTTGACTCCACTGAGAACCACCGAGTACATGCGATATACGTGCTCGTAAAATCTGTAAAATCGAAAGTACTGTGGTCGGTCGTTGTGCAGTACCATGGATGCAGGAATCTGGAGAAAAAGTCCTTCCTCTTCAGATCATGTTTAAATTGAGGAAATGGCCTTACAAAATTGTGATTGCATGTCGGATCCTCCTAGAGATGATTCCCAGGCAGTCCTCAATAGCCCACTGGGCTACGGCCAATAACACAATGGGCTATTGGCGACAGTCTGAGAAACATACTTGAGGGTGTTCCGAAGAGTTGTCATAATAATTTCGATCTTTTGCAAAGGAGATCTCATTTGTGAAACCACTTCCTCAATTTAGATATAGATCTGCATATTATTTTACAAAAAATATTACGTAAGGATTCATCAAACTTACACAATACAAACCAAAGTTTTCAAAGTTTGGTTAACTCCCCATATAGTTCTCATTTCATACACCATCAAACCAGAAATCTAAATCTGTCGGAAATAGACTTATCGGAAAAAGTAAAGAAAAAAAAAATGATAGTAAAAAATAAGAACAGGATAAAACTATTTTATTCCCTTAAAGTTTCAGATGGAGTTTTTACTAAATAATAAAATTATTTGATTAATAAAATAATAAAGCGTGTGCTCCTAAAGATGTCTTACCTTAAATGTATCTAACTAGATTTACCCCACAATAAAGAAAATAAATAACAAGGTTGATCGTTACATTCCAAGGTTGCATTCCAATGAAACCGCAACAAAAGTATGTTTTATATTGTTATATTATTGTAACAATCATAACTGACAACAAAACAATTTAATAAAGACATTATATTCGAAATGCAACAATTGTTTCAGCCTGATTATTGAGATTGTAAGTATTAGAATTAAACCACTTTTACAATTATTTGAAAAAGCCATATAACTCATAAATTTAAAAATTATATATTTCATAACTTATCGAACAGCAGATATGCTCATCTATTTTTCGCCAAGGAAAAAAGTATCATCCATTAAGCGCTTTTATCGAAAAGAAGAAAATCCAAATTCAGGTAATTCAAAATTTTTTAATTATAAAATACGATATATAAAACACAAATGTTGCATCTGAATATAAATTTCCAAATTATGTGGATACAGAAATAGCTTTACTACCGGGTTCCAAAAAAAAATTTGCAAAAAAAAATGAAGAAAAATAAAAATAAATAAATAAAAAAAAATTAAGAAAAGGTGAAAGTTACAAAATGCTAATTAATGTATTCGTATCATCAAGAAAAAGTTATAAACTCCTCTTACTGTACTACCATCTGCTGATGATGGAGAAAACTCCATCAGGAATAAGGTGAATAAAAAGATTTTTGAAATATAATGCACGTTTTCTCATCGCATTTCTCACTTTTTTAATTAATTTATGCAATGAATATATATAACTCATTTAATGTGTTTTATTTTTTGAAATAATTTTTTTTTGACGCAGTTCAATGATTTTTTATTTCAGATACACTCCATTTGTCTTCTCACAAGCATTTTGCTAATACAGTTTCCAAAACTTCGAAGAGTAATTTTCAAACAGATATCATAATTAAAGTTCAAGATTACACCTTTTACGCCGATAAATTCACCCTATCCTCTTGCAGTCAAGTATTGAAGATGTTCATAGAAAAGAATGAAACAAAACAAGTAATACTTTGAACACTTTATTTATTTTTTAAGAACGTTTCCAACTAAGTAAGAATGCATTGCCAGAGAAATCATTTTATCTTTGAACCATAATAATGACTACCTTGCAAATTTGCTGATACGAACAATAAAAATTTGCTGTGACTTTAATAAGGTGCTAAAATGGAACATGTTTACATTCAAATTGAACTATAGTATCGTGTAACCTAGTTTAAGAAGTGCGATATTAAGGTATAACTCAACACCATATTAAGATTGCGGCAATTTGAACCATATTATATCTCAACACGATCAAACACGTTATGATTTTTATGAATATTTATTTATTATGCATTTTTTGTTTACTAATGATATTCGAAGTCTATCTTACTAATCATATTCATTGAATGTCCTATCAAATAATATGTTATCAAATACCAATATCATAATTGCTGTTTCTGTTCCTTGTGGCTCAGGGGATAGAGCACTCACTTATGAGGTGAACCAGATTCGAATCCTATCGGTAGCTGGTCGGTACGAATTCTGTTCCCGGCTCGCCCGACCACAGTGCTGACCTAAAGTATCTTCAGTGGAAGACGGTCATGGGTCCGATTGCCGATTCCGATTGTCCTCTGGCTAACCGTGGGAGGTTTTCGTTGTTTTCTTTTCTTTGTAACTCAAATGCGGGATAATTCTATCGAAAAAGTCCTCCTCAAAGGAAAGTTCGTCCCAGTGCTTGATCTATGAGTTCCTTCGTTACTTGGTCTTGTTTTTATTTATTAATTTATTTATTTAATAACTATCTTTTATGCTCAAGCGTGATAACGAATAAAAACACGAAAAGTGTTCCATGATTATTCCTTAATATATATTTACTCATTGCCATAAAAATTGGGGCAATTCGTCTCAAAATTGCTCTAGGGCAGTTAGTTCGGAGCTCTGAGAAGTGCAGTCCTGATTTTGAACACTCATTTCTTCAAACCATGGTCGCACAAGTCTCAATAAAAGGAGCAGTCATCGTGCTAGAAAAGAAATGAGCCTTCCCCGAAACATTGCCATAGTGTTGTAAGTACATCCATCTCAGAATTCGTATTTCAAACCACAAGAATTAATGGATCCAAACCTAACCATGAAAAAAAAAACTTCACAATATGATGCAGCATAGACCAAATTTCATCTAAGTGGGCGTCCGGATATTTTGATCCAGATAAGGAAAGAAAAAAAATCGGTTTTCAAATTTAATAACTATTGAGTTCGGTATTAAAATCCATAAAAACCAGCTTATTTGTGTAGTGAGATTAAAATGCATCCCCTTTGATTTTGCAGTTAAACATCATTCTTAAATAATTTGGTTTTAAAAATATTTTATTCTCTTCTTTGATCTTGGTGTTAAGTCTCAGTTTTAAAACAATTTTGGAGTTTTTCTTGCTTAAATTTTATTCTGAGACTTCTAACATGGATTTCTAACATATTTTAACTTCATTTTTTTAAAAAAGAATTTTAATATACGTATATATAATTTAGCCTCTGGCTTAGATATCTATATAATGTGGATTTATTATCAAGTTTTAGAATGACAATGAAAATAAAATAAATAACTAAATAGAGCTGTAAGTGTTAAAGATGTAACAAATGTAAAAATTATTGCAATTATTTCAGAACAATGATAGCACTTTCTGGTTTTTCTTTAAATACTCCTTTAGGATCTTCAAAATACTATGAAACTGTCCTTTTCTTAATAGAATAAAATTATACCAACTTGCTCAAAGCAAATAGAACTTCCTGTTATCTTGTGAGTTTTTTTCCCCCGTAAACAGAATGATTCATTAAAACTGCTGGAAATTGCTAGTTATTTCCTTTCTTTGTAACCCAGTAAGAAGAATCACATGGTATAAGGTTTATTAAAATATACTTATAGAATTTAATGGTAAAAAGCAGGAAAAAATGTGCGACTTAATCGTTCATAAAATGTTTTATTGGTCTTGTTTTCCTCTTATTCTTCTTATAATGCGTATTTATTTATCATACATTTTTTTGTATTGAATGTAACACCTACATTAAGTTCAAGTGTTAAAAAACACACTATGATTTCTTTACATATAGGTATTCATTTCAGTTCAAAACTTAATTATAAATATTATTTGTCCGAATACACTTCTACGACAAAGCAAGATTTAGAAACGGTAATTATTTTTTTACTGTCGGCAGTTTGGCGAAAAATACTTTTTAATTCTTCCTCAACTGAGATTTTGATAATAGAAAAAAAAAGCTTTTGTTTTGTTCGGATTAAAACTAGCACGATTTTTTTTTTTTAGATTTTTTTTTTAAATCACCATTTATTGTCTCTCCATTATATTCCATTTCCTTCTCTATTCCTATCTCTTTCCATTTTTTTCTTTCTGAGCAACAAATAAACTGAAAGATTTGAAACTAAAACTAAAAAAAACTGAAACTAAAAGATTTGGAAAAAATCAATTGTTTTAATTAATACAATCTAAAGTTACAGTATTAACTTTAATTTCTACAGATGAGTTTTTTAACAATTGATTTATAATTAAGTATCGTCATACATAGTGATTCTTCCAACTGCATTCGTTATCACTTATTTAACAAAATATTTGTGTTTCTTTATGATTCTTTTTTTCGCCTAAACTTATATCTGCAACTACTGACAAATAAATGAAATTTTTTATTCATATTAACTTCAAACCAAAAGAATTA